TGTGAAAACTAACCTATCCATATTAATTACTGCTCACTCCACCCACCAAATTCCGCACACAATCTAAAGTTCACAAGGACTCTAGATTAACACTCATTTTCTCGTTTTCAAAAGAAACGAAAAAGATTTTAAACTTGTAACAAAGTCTATTCACCCCCCCTCTAGACTTTGTATTTCACCACTTTGGGACCACCAGAATGAATAAGTGTTCAAGTAGTCATCATGCTGCACTTTGTTGTCAAACAACCAAGGACGTCCTAAAAGGACATGGCATGCGTCCATGGGAATGATGTCGCACCAAATGTCATCCTTGTAAGTCTTGCCAATGCTCAGCGAGATCAAGCACCTCATATCAACACGTAATCCCTTGCCTTGGTTTAACCATTGAATGGTGTAAGGCTTGGGATGAGGGGACACCTTTAAATGTAGTTTTTCCACCACTGTTTTGGAGGCAACGTTAGAGCAGCTCCCACTATCGATGATTAACAAACACACCTTCTTTTGGATGGTACAACGGGTATGGAAAATGTTCTCCCGTTGTAATTGCTCTTCGGGGCATGGTATGGCACTTAAGGTCCTTTGGATGACCAAAAGTTCTCCGTCGTCGGGACCAACGCATTCTTCTTCCTCTTCCTCGGCTACTTCTTCATCCCACACGGGATTGTACTCTTCATCATCATATTCAACCAAGGCCATTATTTTCTTGTTTGGGCACTCATTGGCGTAGTGAGCAGTTCCTTGGCATCGGTAACAAACGGGGGTCTTTTGTTGGTTGTAGGGGCTGTTTTAGGTGGGGGATGAGTAGGGTTTGGCTTAGATGGAGTTTGGGGTTTGGGGGTTTGGCCGTGGGCTGTAGGGGTGACTTTGGATGGGATGTATGTGGGGCGTGAGTAAGGGGGAGGGTTTCTTGAGAGGATGGCTTTGGATTTCTTCATTTGAGCCTCAACTTTGAGAGCCAACTTAGTAAGCTCTTCAAAAGTAGTGTAGCTTTGCAGCTCCACCGTATTGGCTATTTGAGTGTTTAATCCGAAAAGGTACCTCACAAAGGTTTGCTCCTCGTTTTCTTGCAAGTCACACCTTAGCAAGAGCTCTTCAAACTCCCGAGTATAATCCTCCACTGATTTCGTACCTTGCCTAAGCGTTTGAGGCTTAGCAAAGTTGTCTCGTGAGTATTCGGTGGGCAGGAACTTCTTCTTCAAAAGACTCCTCATCTTTTGCCAAGAATCAACGGGGGGCTTCTCACTTCGAACTCGTTTGGTGGTGGTATTTGTCCACCAAGTAGAGGCATACTTTCGGAACTTTAAGGCCACGATCTTGACCTTCTTCTCATCGGAGATTTCCTTGAAATCAAAGACTCGTTCCACCGTTTCTAACCACTCAAGAAATTCATCCGGATCATTCTTTCCTTCAAAGATTGGAATATCAACTTTGAAGTCAGAATGAGACTTTTCGTGAGCCCTAGCTCTCATGGTGGCACTAGAGCTAGCTTCCTCTTCATCTTCACTATCTCGTAACATGGACATCTTTTGCTTTGTGAGCTTAGCCACTTCTTTGGCTAGGTATTCCACCTGAGCTTGCAAGGCAGCGTTTGCGGCTACGAGTTCTTCATGAGACATGCTTCGGGATTGGTTTGACATGGTTAATAGGAAAAAGGGATGAAGTGGGAGTAGGGATTGCATGTGGTTAGGCCGAATTTAGGGAGGGAGTTGGGGAAGTGTGTATGGTCCTTGAGAGATGAGAAACAACTAGCTCCGATACCAAATGATGTACCCAAGCTTAGGAAAAGCTATGGATGAATAAGGGCAGATTATAGAGGGGAATATATGGTGAAGAATAGGTTGGATTTGTGTATGAAATGGTGAAGAAAGTATGGTTGTTTGGAAGAGGTGATAGGGCAGAATGAAGGGCAGGAGAAAAGCAATATTAAGGAGTAGTTTTTTATGAAGAAATGAAGTGTTTAAATGGGAGAAAGGGAATGGACGAAATTAGGAGAGTAAGAGGGAGTTCTTTTGTGGTTTTTGTTGTATAAGGATAAACCAAATAATGAATAAGAGATAAACACACTCTTATTTTATTTGGGGCTGTTTCTTTTCACACAATAATATTCACTATTATTATATGAAATAGACTCCTAAAACACACTCAAAAGTAGCCAACTTTAGAGATATTTCATTAGGAAATTGAGAGAATTAGCTTCACACCAACTCAAATATTACTTCAAAGAGTAAAGAAATGGAATACAATGAATGAGTTTTACAAGGTCATAGGGCCGAAATATATAGGGAAAACAGCAAGGAAACTTCACCACTCTTTCCTACAATTCAAGTGCAGAATGTCTTTTTGATGGATCCCATAGGTTGTCCTCATTGATCAAGGCTAAAAGGGGTTCATGGTGGTGAAATGGGCTGTCTTTGGGTGGGGAAATTCGGCCATGTGAAGGGTAGGGTGAGGGAGTGTGTCATTTTGTCCATTTATGCAAAGTAAGGTATGTGATACATCAAGGGATTGGTTGTTTATTCCTTTGGCCTTATTATAGGTTTGAGAAGTGATTTGGGGATGTTTGGGGGGAGGAATTCGGCCATGGGACAAGGAAAGTGAGGGGGGATGGTTTTGAATGATTTTCACACCAAGACAAAAGACATGTTTAATCCTTGTCTCCTGATTTGGTCTTTTGTGTTTTGTAATGGATTGGGATGAATGGAGATGGATTCTAAGGCCAAAAGGGAATGTATTTTCGTGGGTTTGAAGTAGGGAAAGGTGGGGGAAGGTTTTATTCAAAGTAGGGAATATTAGGAAAGAAAACAACACACACAAAGCAATTTTGTTTGTCCTTATCTCTTGGATTTTCAGCCATGGCTTCAAAGGGAGG